TTTTTATACCAAATTGTTTCAATTGTTTGTTGTCTTTTTGTCATATACGAAGAAATAAATACAACTTCATTGTTTGTTTATTGATTTGTGTATGCAAGCATATAATAATATAATAATACGTCAATAATTATCTTATTTTCTGAACTCAGCTAGCCATTAACACTATTCTTTTAATGGATTTGACTACTCTAATCGTTTTAAGAATAACTATTTGTGAGGTCGAGTAATACAAAGTAACCATTAACACACACATACGTACGTATGTACGTACATGTGTGTGTGTGTTGGGGGGGGGGGGGGTTTCAATTTGAAAAATAAATAAGTGGATGGATAAAATAATAATTCATTCAAAGTCCAAAATTAAATTAACAACAGTTTGGTTACTGCAACTTGTATTAAATTAAATAAATCCTGGACCAGCATGCATGCTGACCAAGAGTCTAAGACTAGATCATATAATTATACAAAATAGAAAAGGAGAAGCGTGCATGCATGCGGCACTGAACTAGGTTAGTAGGGTTGGTAAACCGACCAACACGCCGCCACTTGCTGCGGTGCAGGCTTGAATCTGCGGTTGCTCGCCGTGAGTTTTCACAATTTCACATGTTGCTGAGAAAAAGATTTTCCTGGTCAATAGTCAAATCCTTGTGCCGTTGGCTAGCTCTGCTTTTCACAGGTTTGCACATGAAAGAACACGTTACTAAGCTGTCTATTCACTAACCTATGTTTTTCTTAGGATTGTCGCTGTTACTGTATATTCATGTGATCGAGGCGCACACAGAATCCATTTCAGTTCTTCTTTTTTCACTTTTATTTAGGTTTATAAAAAAATAGGATGTTTTTGCCCTTTTTTTTATTATTAAAAACCGAGAAAGAGAATCAACTAAGGATCCGTTTGATTGCAATAATGAAAAATAGATGGAAAGAAAATAAATTTTAGAGAAAGTAATTGTCTAGAACTTATTTTTCAGGAAATTGTTAATTAAATACAATTGATTGGTATATTTTTCCATCTGGAATATCTTAAAATTTTGGATCTTTTTGTATTCGTTTAACTTTATTTTATATGTAAATTGTCCATTAAAATGATAATTTTTTTCACAATTGATTATAAAATTTGTTTACATTTCCAAAAATAAAATAAAAAATGAAAAAAAATAAAATTTCCTAAAAAATTATTTTTTTAATCAAAGTTTTGTATTCGTTTGGCTTTATTTTATATGAAAATTGTCAATTAAAGTGATTTTTTTTTAACAATTGGTTAAGAAATTTGTTTTCATTGCCAAAAAAAAAAGTGAGAATTCGATTTTCCCACCTAAAAATTCACTTCACGCCTAGAAAAAGGTGCGTGAGGTGAAATTTTTTTCCCCAATTGGCATGGAAATTTTTTTGACTGACACTACCAAAGATGGAAAATAAAAAATCCATGCTATCGAACACTACCTAATTTCAAAGCCACAAAGTGAAGTTCATGCATTTAACCAAATGAAAGAAGGATAACATTTTCTTGAGCTGCATCAAAATTTTTGTTTTAATTTTAGCCACAAATTTTTGTAACATATGTATGTGTTTCCTTGACTCGCACTTCACTTGTTACAAATTAAATATTATTTTACTATCAAGTTACCCCATATCGTAATAGTATTTGCCTAATTCCCTTATTACTTAAAATCTCTTTTGGAATCTCACGTAGAATGCAATAAATTTCTTTGAATGCAAATTATTTATATGTACTGGGTTTGGCATCAGTCACTTTTTTTTTTTGGGACAATGTGGAGACGGAGTGTCGTTTAAATCCTTATTTTGCTTAAACTCCGCCCAAACATAGATTAGAGGTGGTGTTCTCAATTGAGATTGTGACGGATTTTAAAAATTCTTCTAAATTTAGGGGTCCTCAATTGAGTTTGTGATTGATTTCAAAATTTCTTCTAAATTCTGGTATCCTCAATTCAGATTTTAATGGATTTTAATGAAATTCATTAAATTTTAGGTGTTCCCAATTGAGATTTTACTAAAATTCAATGAAATCCTTTAAAATTTAGATATCATCGATAACCTTTTTTTTTTTATAACCGTGGATGTCCGAGTCAACTTGCGCGCACCTCGACTAATTACACGGGACCCTGAAGTTTACTGCCGGGTACTCACCTCAATGGCCATGAGGGGACTCGAACTGATGATCATTGGAGAGCAAATCCAAGGCCTGACCAATTGATAAATATCATCAATAACTAGTGAATTTATAAAAAAATCATTAGTAGATGGATTTTAAAAAATTTGAATGGATTTCAAGTTTAAAAAAATATATATAATCAAATCTTTTGAAATGTCACCATATTTGATGAGATTTTTATGGAATTTGTGGAAATCTATTTAAATCCACGGAATTTATTAGAATTTATAATCTTTTAAAATCTTATTTGAGGACACCTCATAAATTATCATATTCTGTCTTAAAACAAGTACAGGCATACAGTTTGATAATCAAAATCCAGACATTGGAAATTACTAATTGATCAATTTTCCTTTGTTATTTATAATTTATTAACTTTTATGGTTCTTTATTATACACTATGATATATACTCAAATGTAATAATATTTATATTCTCGACAGAACTTTCATCACAATCAAGACAAGTCGCATATCGCAAGTGGGCGAGTATATGACCATACGGACCCTTACTAGAATAAAGTGTCATGATCAAGACAAGTCGTGTACGTCAATAGGTAGAATATTTGACCTTGAGGCCTTATTAGAATAAAATCCCCATATCTATTCAGTAGGCCCATGACAAATCAATTCTCGATTGAAATATAAATTATAAATGCGATAACTTATTTTAAAAAAAATAATACAAATCCAAAATGTCAAAGTAAAAATCATATTCCAATACTTTTGGATACCAATCCCAATATATTATTACATATAATTAAAGATACTGGAATAATTCCATAATATTATTCGTGACACTTTTCTTTATAATTATTCGTAACCTTATAATAGAATCTTTAACCATGTAATTTTTAGACAAAATAATTATACAAATTCAAATGATTAATTATTAGTGACAACTGATCATAACCATCATAATATATTTACGAGCGTCATTGAAAGTAGTTGTTAACGATTAAATTTTAGAACGGTCATGATCAGGGACGGATCCATGATCGGACTACAAGCGACAAGCCGGGCTAATACGTAGAAAAAAAAATTAATTTACAAAAAAAAAAAATTTACAAGATTTGTTTTTTTACACTAAAAAAAAGGGGGCCCAGGACTGGGCTGAGCTACCCTAAATCCGTCTCTGGTCATGATACATGATGAAGCTTATAGATAACTCTCGCTGACCCTCTATAATATAATAGCTCAATAATTGACCTTTTGGCAAAAATTAGCCAATAAAATCGCAATCGTTTACAAGTGATAGAACAAGAATTGATCTTACGGGTTTTAGTATCTTTCGCTCTCAAGGTTGTATGTACCTTGAGTGTTCCTCCTATTTAGGTAACTTAACCTAGTTCCCCATATTGCATGCAGTAACAAGTTTCTTTTACTTAGGCCTACAAAATTAATTGAGTAACTTGCAAGTCATAACTACTGAAATTGAAATCAACGAAAAATTATTAATCGAATATATTAACGTTAATTTTAATAAGAATAATATATAATGTTCATGATTCCTTTTGCTCCCTTCTAGGTAGGAATTAATGACTTATACTTTGGCTTTTATAGCTTTGTTACCATCGGGTGGCTGGCTATTAGCTTATTACTAAGCCCCTACTCGGTTTTGCCTAAAAAAAAAAAAAAGACAAACTTTTAACCCTTATCGTCAGAAAACTTATCGATGGTGGTACGCAGTATCAATCGAGAGTCCGTCTAATAATATTGACATGTTACTCGTGGTGATTCTTATTAATTATATTCTAAACATATATGTAGCTTGACGTATATAGTTCTAATATATCATAAAACTAAGAATAATGCTATCTAGTATCGATGATATTAGAACTGATAATATACGCAGCTACACTTTATGAGTTCAATTAAGCCCTTGTTTGATAACCATTTTGGCCAAAAATGAGAATATATTTTATAATCATTTAATGTCGTGTAATTGTCACCGAAATTAATGCTTAACTTTCATTGTCGTCTTAGGATAAAGATTGTACAAAACAATGTTGGCTACGGATAAAAGTATAAAACATGAGAAGGTATAATAGCATGATTCATAAAGTTTTAAGTTTCATTCACTGTCAAATGGTGTACTTTCGAGTGTTCCCAAGTTCTAGGTAGCTTAACCTAGTTCCCCATATTGCATGCAGTAACAAGATTTCTTTAACATAGGCCAACAAAAACTACATTTTGGCTTTATAGGTTTGTAACTATCCGGTGGCTAACTATTATTACTAAATTATTATTGAATTTAATGAAGTTTTTATTACAATCGAGATCTAGATAACTTCTAGAGATATCCGAGCTCAAAACAATATATCCGGGATGTGTTTGACCACATTTGTGAAGATTACAAGAAAGTTAAGGACTTCCCGAATTTGAGATTAGCCTACAAATTCACAATATCTACTTCAATTAGCGAATTTGAAAGTCGTCATGAGTTGCAGAAACACTTCTTCCTACAAATAATGACGAGGAATAAGATGCATAAAGTATAGTAATTATAATTTTCATCGTATTTTCAATCACCGGATAGGATAAGTTTTTAGTTTTATTTTACTGTAGTAGGGCTTAATTCGTTATTAATAAAATCATGAAATCGACAATGGTTTTTATTTAAAAAAAAAAAATTGTTTTTGGAGCACTTAATGAATTATCATGCGATGTCAGCTTTCCAAGTTTAGTTTGGATGAAATTATAACAATGGGCCTGCTGTAATATATGGTGAAGGGCCAGAGCAGGATCTACACCCAAATACTTAAAAGCCCAAACCCAATCTGACGCATCTCTCCCCAACTGTACTGCTACCAGTGTATTTCACCCTTCATGGCCCAAATCAGTTCTTCTCTCCGCGACTCCACTCGGCGCCTCAGCTCTCACTCTCGTATCTCGCTGCCTTCTACCACCGGCGCCTCTCACTCTCGTCTCTCGCCTTCTAGGTAAGGACTTCTTTTCTATTCGTTTAGTAGAATGTGGATTGTATTGTTTTAAAAGATTCAATGTTGTTTTAGTAACTTAGTTGTGGTATTTCATTTATCGTTAATTTTCTGATATTTTTTATTTTTTGTTGATGGGTATGTTTCATGATTCTATGTTTATATGGGTAATGGATTGTTCATAGATTTTCTGATTTCTGTTGATGAAATGGGATTTGCAAAAGCGGTAATCCAAATTCAATGGAATCGAGATGAGAAAATGATAACCTTGAATATGTTTCATTAGGCATTAGCTAATATAAAGAAATCCCAACTACCATTTTTCACTCTGATATATCTTTTCAGTTTAATCCCAACCTTGAATATATCTTTTTACAAAACTTGAATTATTTGAACCTCAGTCGCAACAATTTTGAGAGTTGATAATCTTGAGTGGCTTTCTGCCTTTCTCACCTTTCTTTGTGAAAACATCTTGACTTGAGTGGTGTTAACCGCGATGAAACCAACAACGGGCTGCAGCAACTTTCAAAGCTCTCTTTCCTTGAGGATTTGTACTTATCAGATTGTCAACTTAGCAATCTAAGTTTCGTTCCTTAAAAAGAGTTCAGACTTGTAACAATCAATTGAACGAGTTTTACCCACTCGGGCGACTTCATTACAATTAACTTGGAGGACCCTTACCAGACTTGACAGCATATTCATCATTGCAAAAATTAGTTCTCCCGGAGAGTCAATTAAAAGGCTATACAAAGGTACTTGGCAACTTTCCAAGCTACAAAAATTGGACCTCTCTTCAAATTCTTTGGAAGGAACAATCACAAAGAACACTTCTCAATCCTAGTCAAAACTACCTATTTTGTACTACAATTCCCTAGCTTTGAACATGAGCTCTGATTGGACTCCTCCATTTCAATTGAACTCAATATACCTCAGATTTTGCAATGTGGAACCTCATTTTCCAAAATGGCTTCAAACTCTCAAAGTTTAGTATTGATTAAATTATGCTCGCACTGAACAATATTCCTAGCGCTGCCCATGTATTCAGGTGAGCTCACTAGTGTATTCTCGAGTGCAAGTGTTGATTGTATTTACATTTTTTCAGTTATGTCACAATCAAAGTGTAACAAACCGCTATTCTATTTAAAAGTTTTAGGGCGTGTTCGGTAGAGATTAAAATTGGATTAAAATTGAAAAACTAGCCGTTATTGTTGACTTTTATTAGAAGAGTGGGACCCAATAACGGCCATATTTTCAATTTTAATTGGATTTTAAGTTGTACCGAACAAGCCTCGATGCCAACTTTCTGACTAAGGGCGTGTTCGGTAGAGATTAAAATTGAAAAATTAGTCGTTATTGTTGACTTTTATTAGACGAGTGGGACCCAATAACGACCATATTTTCAATTTTAATTGGATTTTAAGTTGTACCGAACAGGCCCTTAATCTTTTTAAACGTCCATATTGAAATTTAAGTTAGGAGAAAACAATAATGAAATAAAATATTGCAGTATCGACTGTATTAGAAGACACAATTGTCAAAAAAGAAGTTACATGTATGATCAAGAGAACGATTCTCTCTTCCACCGTGTTGTAGGGGTGGAGCCCAATTAGGTCCAGTGCAGGCACAAGCCTACATTGAACTTTTGGGCCCAATCCAATAATTTTTTTTAAAGCCATGATTCACCACTACCAGCGTCCCAACCGAAGAGTAAACCCAAAATCCAATTCAATATATCTTAACCCTCACCGGTCACACATTTATCGACAGATTAGCTAGAACGGACGATTACGAAGGCACGACAACTTTGATTTTTTTTCTCTCAACCTCTAATGGTCTCACTCTCGCCTCTGTGTGTCCTAGATGCAGCGCTCCTTCCATCGTAACCATCAACGACAATGCAGCAAACGATTCCTATGCTCAAACCCTCGTAACTTCTAATAGTCTGTTCTCTCTCTAAAACTTATCCTCCACGGCTTCTCCATCACCAGCCACCCTGAGGTCTCTTTTTACCAGCTGCAAAGTTCCCTTCTATAACGACGAACAAATTTGGTGTGAGGTTTGGTTCTTGGTTACTGTTTCATTGATGTTATATAACAATGAAATTTACGATTTTTATGTGTAGCTCTTGACTCTTAAGGAAGAAATGAAATATATATCTTCATGAAAAATCTAATCCAGATGTGTATGATTCAGTTGTTTGTTTTACTATTATGTTTCCGTTTGAATTAGTAATTTGCACATGTATACTGTATTAAAAAGATGGAGACTTTTTTGAGTGGTGGTTTTACTTTAAAAATCTGTCTTAAATAATTGATATGTTGTTTTTAATGTAAGGTTTGTTGACAAAATTGGAGTTATCTAGTGGACTTTAACTATGTATTGGTAAAATACTTTTTCACATATCAGAAGTGCCTATGAAATCTTACATAACCTGCATTACACACTTGTAAAAGTTACAACTTACTTATGTTCAACCTTGCAGTGTGATTTGGGCTTAAATTGCTTTTGCTTATAGTAATTTGATTTTGCTTTCAAATTTCAATTACTTGATTTAGACTTTATCTAAAACCATTCTTAATAGCAATATTGTTTAAATCCAGATATCTAATGAAGAGATTGTTTTATATTTTTCTTATCATTAAATTCAAGACCAAAGACTCAAAGTTCGACATCAATTAAATTGTACCCGCACTGAACGAATTTCCTGGCTCCGCCCCTATCATGTTACAATAAAAAGAAAAATATATCATTTGAAATACCATATTTTTGGGAACATTGGCAGAAATGTTAAAAGAACCAAATTAAATTTAAAAATTTTGAATTAATTAAATTTTCTAAATATCTGATTTAATAATTATTTTAATAACCTGGTTTGCAAGTAAAAGTTACAAATATAAAATATTTGATTTGTCTAATTTTTCTCAAGGGTTTACCCTCGGTATTACACTAGAAATTGGGAATAATGTAGGCAAAAAGGGTGCAATTCATCATCCATTTAGCACCAATTTATCTTGTGTTCTGCTCAACATCTTCATCACCAAGCTTGGAAGGTAGTATCGGATTTTATTAGTGTAAAAACGGGTTTATATGTTGAAATCCCACTGGATCGGATTGCTGTGAATGATTTAACTTCAATTCAACTCCTTAGAATTTATTTATTCCAGAATTGTTGTTTCTTGATGGTAGAAACAGTGATTTTTGATGTCGTTGTTTATGGTTTTCTCCTTGCCTTCAAAACTGACCTGCCCTCAAGTGTAATAGGTGAAATGCCCAGGTGGAGGAACCTCTGATTTGGAGGCTTATTAACTGAATCATTAGAAATTGAAGTACTTGAATTAAGATTATATGCGTGAGACTGGTAGATTGATCAAAGACGACAAAATAGTAGGTCTGCCAAGTTCCCAGATGAATGGATTGTTGGATTCTATGGGATTAAAATCCTGAGTCTAGATCAGTAAACTCACGATTTTAAAATTTCCTCCTTAAAGAGAACTGTTGTGTGTATTTGGTTATCATCAATGGTTAATTGTTCATGTATACTTTAGAATTGGGACTGTTTTGTTATTAACACTTCCTTTGGTGTTTGAATGGGTTATGTATGGATTCTTTAATCTCGAAACTATTCTTTAGGTATTAAAACTTACTTTGGTGCTTGAATGACTGAGGATAGCAGTGCTATGATTTTCTCTTAACTATCCCACGCCTTAAAAAGTTCATCTTACTATGCAATAGGTGATCAAATGTTGGTTTCTTGTTGAAGTTGAGTTTGAGAAGTGAAATGAATCCTCTCACGGTTTTTTTTCTATGTTGCAGCTTAAGGATACAATACATCATGGTGAATGCCATCAAAGGATTGCACATTTCATGGTAAATTACTATTTGGCGATGAAGTTATTTAGTGCTCATTTGGTAAAGATTAAAATCCAATTAAAATTGAAAATATAGTCGTTATTGGGTCTCACCCGTCTAATAAAAGTTAACAATAACGACTAGTTTTTCAATTTTAATCCGATTTTAATCTCTACTGAACACGCCCTTAATGTGCTAATTTTCCAACTATTGTGGCATTTGATTGTCATTTTATGTGACCTGTACCCCTACCAAAAAAATAAAAATAAAAGAGGGAAAGGAAAAAAAAAACTCCCACAAAACCTTCTTCATTCTTTCTACTGGTAAGACATATGTCAAGGCATCATTTCCAAAATGATCCTCGACTCATTGCCCTTGCTTTTTAAAAGCGGGTGTGGATTAGCTGCACCATATGTGATACATATGAATGATATGTTGAGCCTCTGTCAACCAACTCTTAAGTTGGCCTTCCTAACCCAAGGATTTTGTTCTGCTTTTCCCTTCACTTCTACAATGTACTTGAAATCAAAATAAGGTGAAACATGTAGCAGATTTTGAAACAAGACAGTCTTCAACTGTATTTTACTAATTAATCTTGTTTTCTGGATTTTGTACCATCATAACTGTGTTTATTGAATCTGACTGATTATGTACACACTTTCATCAGTCTAACCACGTTTAGTGCGAAATTCAAGATATTATGAAGCATCCACTTCATGCTTTCTGTCAATGGCGATCATCTAATAGGGATTTGCTTTATCTTTCTTATACAGTGACATACCTATGGCACAATTCATCATCAACATGAATGCTGCACTGCCTCAAGCTGATAAGTTCATTATACAAGTATTGGATAACACTCATCTTTTTGTGCGATCAGACATGGCTGGGATGATACGAAGCGCCATTGCATCATTCAGAGAGCAAAATACCTACGAGAAGCCTTCTTAATATGTGTAAGGATCATTGCCGCATTCATACCGTAATGATGCCATGCTTTTCAAGTGTGTACAATCTTATTTGTTTATTTGGACCTAAATTTTATGAACTAAACCTACATTAAGGCCAAGTATTGCTCCAATTTTTAAGTACAGGTCTTGAAAAATTTTTTTGAACTTCACGGGTTTGGTGTGCTTTTGTTTTGGTATTTCATAGTGCTGATGGATCTTAATATAAGTTGAATTTTATTTTTATTTTTGATAACCGTGGATGTTCGGGCCAGTTTGAGCGCACCTTGACTAATTCCACGGGATCCTGAAGTTTACGACCGAGTACTCATCTCAGTGGCCCTGAGGGGATTAAGTTGAATTTATTTTTATTTTTGGGCTCGGGCTCATTCCTATTTTTTTATTTTTTGTGAGAGCCCCGTATTTGGAATGCAATGGTGGAATAGACCAAAGTTTGTTGAATTAGTATGCTAAAGTTTGCGTGCACTTGCCTATTTGCTGAATTAGTATGCTAAAGATAAGACTGATGAGTGTAATAGGCACTTGCAATATGACTAATCAAAGTTTTATCTTCCCAACTTCGATGGGATGCATCTATAAATTGATAGAGTTTCTATCAAACAACGAGATATTTACGTTTTTCTGTAAGACAAAAAGACTACATTCTAGTATAAAAAATCGTTTTTCTTTTTTTTTTTTTAAATGAGGTTCTACAAGACAAAAAGGCAATACTTCATAGCATATAAATTCAAATTTTTAAATGCGATAATTTTTTTAAGATTGATAATAAAGTTATTGTACAACGACGTCAAATTATGAAAACTCATAAAGAACAAATGTAACCTATAAACTACTTCATTTTTAGTATTTTTGTAATATTGTTTTACTTTTATCATTATTAAAAAGTTCGACGTCTATTAAATTGTGCCTGCACCGAAGGAATTTCTTGGCCCCGTCCTTGCCAATCCTAATCCATTTAAAATACATGGTTAATGATTCAATTTTAAGAAAAAAAATGTCCTCGTGTTGAAATAATGTTGTTTTCTTGCAACGTGTCGAAATCCATATTGAATTCATCATTTTGAAACTTTTAGCCTTGGTTATAAGTTTGTAGTGATTAATCGATTGTAATACATGAACACTAATGTTTGATCGTTCATATACCAACCATGTTGAATGGAAAATAGGTTCGTATGTGTCTTTCTCCTTGAACAGTTTTTGTTGTCTTCCCTAAAATTCTACTGCAATATGGAGCTATGTATGAAGATGACGCTTATCAGTGGGAATTTATCGTGAGTTATAACGGATTCTTGTAAAGGGGATGTAAATTTCTTTACATTTTTATTTTACTTAGCATTTTCCTGAACGGGAGTGCAACTGTTCTTCTCTATATCGTAATTATTAATCTTCAGTAAGTGAATTGGTTTTGTGTTCTGTTGGTGCAACTGTTCACCATGAAGGTTATATCTTTCTCTCAACAAGGTCCTCGAGCAGTATGCATTCTCTCGGCTATTGGAGTGTTCTTCAAGTTTTTAATATGCTGATATCTTTCCTTGACTTGCGTTTTGATATCTATCAAGTCTATTGGTTTAAGATTTTAATATTCTTTGGCAGCTTTTGAAAAGCCAAAAGCTACTTTTGAATCTGTTTAGATAATGTTTTGTCCGGTTAAAAGAACTTTTAGAGGAAGCTGGCTAAAAGAAACTCTTCTAAAAAAACAGAAGCTATCCTAAACATGTCCTAACTTGTCTTTAATACAAATTGTGCACTTAATTTATACATTCTTGATCTTACATTTCCCATTATTTATGTGCGTCTTTGAAATCTTGATTCCCGATTTGAAAAATCAACCAAATTCCAATCAACCGGCTCGACCCATCAACCCTCAACACCTTTGTTATCTCAATTTAATCCCCACAAAGAAGACACTTGGTGGTGATATTTGCAAGCTACAAATGGAGGAAGGGGTAGAAGAAAACAATGGTTGAATCTCTCTCAAATCCACCCCAAAACCGGTTGCCCTTTCACTCTTCTCTTGGCTGCCTCTCTCAACTGTCTCCTCTTTTGCAAAATACACACCCACACTGAAGAAAACACACAGCTATGTGTACATAGGTATTCTAGATTCCTGGTTTCTAAATGTATTCAAAATTTTCACAAATCTTCAATCTGTGATGTATAACAAATGTCAAGTAATTTTTTGTTTTATTTTCATTTGGTTGTTTGATTCATTTTGGAAGGGTGAGAAATATTTTCTTACGAAATATTGACAAACAAGATGAATATAACATTCATCACATTTGTTGGCTAAAAGTGTAATGTGAAACATCAAACATATTATTTCCATTTAACGATAACCTGCTTATATTGCCACAATATATACCAAGCTGTAATATTGCTTTCCACTCTTTGTTGGCTAAAAGTAAATTGTGCATCATCGATCAAAATATCCATTTCATTTGTCAACATCTTAAAGGAATCTAGTAGGATAATAACGTAAACGAATCAAAAAACGAATAGAAACAAATGCACGTGAAGATGAGATTAATATACATACTTAACATAAATACTTCACAGAATTCAACAATTTGAAGCAGTTTTTTAATATCGTCCAGGCCTTCATAGACTTGCACACCTTTCTCGCACTCTTGGAAACTAAATCATATTCGGTTTCCTATTGAATGATGCGCTTTTCGTTTCCATACTTGTGTATAGTTTAGAAGCCAAGTATGTCTCGTGATTTGACACGAAGTTTTCGGCCAATTTAATTCAGTAGACCTGTGTTCCACGAGCCACATGTACAACAATAACACAAAGTAGGAGCCTCAAAATTTTAGAGAACAACAAATTATAAGAAGGAAAGACTGAGACTATTTCATATGAAGAATACACTGATGTACCAAGGTGCTGCCACCTGACAGATTATATGCACCATGTTTTCTGCTAAAACCGTAATTGACAAAACAGTATCCCAATTTATCCATCCATGCCTGAAGGGACAAACTTGACCCCTAAATGTTACACCTATGATCTAACGATTACCAGTAATTTTCTTTAGGTTCATGAGATAGACTAAAGGCTGATTGTAAGTTCATCACAAAAACAAATCAGTCATGCCCACAACCTCTTAGCCATGTTATGCTACATCTAATCATGGAATCAAAGGTGTGTTTGTGTCATTATACGCCTAAAATACGTTAATTACCAGCACCAACATGGGCACATTATATTCTCATTTGTATGCTTAAAAGTAGAGAAAAATTAATTCAAGTTGACAACAAATTTGGGAACCAATCATCTATCATTCTAAGAGCCATGAGTTCTTAGCATGTGCAAGACAACAACCCAATTTGAGAACATGGCAGTGTATCGATGATGTGTGTATGACTGAACATAATTGGCAAGACAACAACACCTACATGACAATAAGGCATCGATTCGGGATAGTGCATAAACTGAAAACCTCCTTGTCAATATCAACAACACATACCTAGTTTAAATATCGTCATGTGTAATTGTCTGACAAA